TCTTTTTCTAATTTTTTAAGGTGCATGTTTAGACTGTTTATTTCAAGTTTTTCTTTTTTCATGTAGGTATCTATTACTATAAGCTTCCCTCTTATTACTGCTCTTGCTGTATTACATAGGTTTTGATGTGTTGTGTTTTCATTTTTATTGCTTCAGGACATTTTTAAATTTCCTTCCTAATTTCATCATTGACTCATTGGTCATTTGGGAGAATGTTATTTAATTTTTATGTAGTTATATAGTTTCCAGAGTTTTTGTTACTGATTTCTAGTTTTATTTCATTGTCGTTAGATAAGTCCTTGATATGATTTTGAGTTTTATGAATTTGTTAAAACTTGTTTTGTGTTCTAGGATACAGTCTGCCCTAGAGAATGTACCATGTACTCATGAGAATAATGTGTATTCTGCAGCAGCTGGGTGAAATGTTCTCTAAGTGTCAAGTCCATTTGGTCCAGAATGTAATTCCAGTGTTTCTTTGTTGATTTTGTCTGGATGATCTGTCTATTATTGAGAGTAGGGTATTGAAATCTACAACTATTATTGTATCGTAGTCTGTCTCTTCCTTTAAATCTATTAATATTTGTGTCATATGTTTAGGTTCTCCAATATTGGTTGCATATATATTTACAATATATATATGCAACCATATATATATAATATATATATATATAATATATATATATAATATATATATAATATATATATATGGTTGCTGATGGTTGCTGAATTGACCCTTTTATGATTATGCAATGACTTTTTTGTCTCTTTTATAGTTTTTGTCTTGAAATCTCTGTTATCTGATGTAAGTGTAGCTGCTTTTGTTCTTTTTGGTTTCTGTTTGCATGGAATATCTTTTTCCATCTCTTCACATTCTGTGAAGTAGAATGTAAGTAAAATTAAAACTCAGGTAGGATGTGATATGCTCTGAGAGCAGTATAAAGTGCTGAAGAGATCACATGAAATTACAAAGTGCTGAAGAGATCACATGAAATTACAGTTATATTTGATTCTAGAAATTAGCCCTTTTGGAAGAGAACAATTTTATCCTAAGACTTATAGAATAAGCAAGATTTCCGTAGGCGAAGATAAAAGGCATCTCAGAAAAGATATAACGTGAGCTAACACATTGTGTCAGGAAAGTGGGAGTGTGTTTGGGACACAGGATATAGAGTAGCACATGGAGTACATGTAGGTGATCAGTGAGAGGTGAGAATAGCAAGGTAGACTGGGGTTGGATCTTGGAGGATGGGGAATCCCAGACAGAATGATTTGCCTTACTTCTTCACCCATTCTTAGGAATTCTTACAGTATGTAAAATACGTACTTAGTTTTTTTCTGTCTCTCCCAACTCAGTTCAACTATGAACGTTCCAAGGGCAGGGGCCTATCTCATTCTTTCCTACTCTCCGCAGTCCCCAGAGGTAGTCAGTGTGCATTTGTTGATTTTGATTGGTAGGCAAGATTTGGTCTCATGTTTTTCAACTTCATTAATGTGGTAAACCAAAGATTAATATGTTTGTTTTTGATCATTCCAGAAAAGAGATAGAGCCAGTGGTTGCTGAGACTGTAGAAGAGGTGAAAGAGGAATCTATCCTAGTGTGTCCACCCTTACGAAGCCGAGCATACACACCACCTGAAGATCTCCAGAGTCGTTTGGAATCTTATGTTAAAAAAGTTTTTGGTTCATCTCTTCCTTGTAATTGGCAAGACGTCTCCCTGGAAGATGGTCGTCTAAAGTTCAGTCTCTTGGTGCATTTAGCTGATGATTTGGGTCATGTAGTCCCTAATTCCAGACTCCACCAGATGTGCAGGGTTAGAGATGTTCTTGAATTCTATAACATTCCTGTTCAAGATAGATCTAAATTTGATGAACTCATTGCCAGTAATCTGCCCCCCAATTTGAAAATCACTTGGAGTTACTAAGCAATTTGGAAGAGAAACACACTGAAATCATTTTTTCTCCCTGGGCAAGGGGGCTGCTTATCATACCTTTCAATACTTTACCATATGAAATACTACCAGAACTGTTCTCTAAACCCACTTTTTCTATAGATGAATGTATCATCTCTTTTTTTTTTTTTCTCATATTATGAATGGACAAATAACAGGACTTTCTACTTTCATATTTGCTGAAACTTTTTTAAATGAAATTAGGTCATTAATAATTTGAAAAATTTTGAGAGGACACTGTCATTAACTTGGATTTAAGACGAGGACATTTCAAGTTCACACCCTTCATTAGGCATAAAGGAGTAGTTGCAAGAAAATATTTTCATCCCGTTAGGACTCATATCTAAGGTAGAGTTATTATATATTGCACATATACAAATACACTTGTATTAGATAGATACCTATAAAAGAAACAGAAGTATGTTGCATGTTACTGACTGTTCTAGATTAATTTGTTTTGGAATTAAAGTAGATTTGTTGAAGTGTATTGTGTGTTGTAAATTTTTTTAAGTGAAATTCACTTCTGTTCTGCCTTGGCATTTCTTTCCGGTAAGTATAGCTTTGAAAAATTAGAATATGTGCCAACTATTGAGTGCTGTGACTCTTGCTTATAAGAAATGTGCCAGATTCTATGTCTAACTGTGTGTTCTCTTCAGAGGAGATGATGCTTATTTTAAACCTTTTTTCTATAACTTCTAAAAAGTGGTGTTGAGTATTCACTAGAATAGCAAGTCTTTGTACTTCAGTGCACTTAATTTGTGGATATTACTTAAATAGCAGGTTATCAGATGGTCCTAAATGACAAAGTTAGTTGTTAAATTTGGGATTATTTATTTATTTTGAGGCGGAGTCTCGCCCTGTCACCCAGGCTTGAGTGAAGTGGCGTGATCTTGGTTCACTGCACCCTCTGCCTCCCGGGTTCAAGCGATTCTCCTGCCACAACCTCCCAAGTAGTGGAGATTCCCGGCATACGCCACCACGTCCAGCTGAATTAATCTTTAGCAGAGACAGGGTTTCACCATGTTGGCCAGGCTGGTATCGAACTCCTGACCTCATGATCCGCCTGCCTTGGCCTCCCAAAGTGCCGGGATTACAGACATGAGCCACCGTGCCTGGCCAGTATTATTTTTGTTCAAGCGTTAGATATGGCTGGAGAGTAATGAGACAGAAGGAATGTCTTATATTGTTTTGACTCTGACAATTCCTAAAGAAATGTGATAGGAAGATTTTTAACAAAAGAAATTGCATTTATTCTCTTTTCCAGGGTGACTTGAAGAGGGCAAAGTTCAGTTGGATATACAAATTCTAGAATGTTCGTTAAGAAAATTAGTTAATAGTACAGCCATGCCCTACAAATGTCGTCCAAAGGCACTTCATTCAAGAACTTCAGGTGTCAGTGCCTGGAGTTCTGGAGCTTAGACATTAGAGTTGATTTCTTGATAACCATTGGGGATTGGTTCCAGAACACCTACTTGGATACCAAAGTCCACAGATGCCCAAGCCTTTTGTATAAAATGATGTAGTATTTGCATATAACATATGCACATCCTCCCATATACTTTAAATGATCTTTGGATTACTTATAATACTGAATACAATGTAAGTTCTATGTAAATAGTTGTTATGCTGATTAGGGAATAACGAGAAGGAAAAAAAGTATACATATTGAGTGAATATATCAGAATAACGGCCTTTACTTTTCCTGAAGCATGCTTCAAAAGCTGATTATGCAGTTATCTTTTTTCCCCCCGAACATTTTTGATCCATAGTTGGTTGAATCCATAGTTGGGGAACACACAGATATAGAAGACCTACTGTATGTGCAGCTTCTACTATGTAAAAGATCCAGCATTGGAATTTTGTATACAGGATTTGATTATCTCATTTTCTATACAACTTTTCCTTCTGATCCATAGACAGGAAAACAAAGGCCAGATTGGAACTAAGGGATGAGGAGGTCTGTGTGGAAAAACACTTGGTTACAACCGGAGAGTTAACTGCAAAAACCAAGCAGCTTCATGTTACTGTTAGAAGAAATTTCTCCTTTGTAGCCTAGAGCAGTATTTTCAAAATTTAATATGCACATTAATCATTTGGGGATCTTTTATTGATTATTTTCATGTGGGGATCTTTTAAAAATGCAGATTCTGATTCGGTAAGTCTGGAGTACATCCTGAGCTGCTGCATGCTTCAAAAGCTGATTATGTTTCGAGAACATGGATCTAGATGCTAGTATTGAGTTGGGAGACAAGTACCACTGCCTGAAACAGTCGTCGTAAATATAGCCAACAAGGAGGGTAAACACATCCGGACAGGGAAGGTAAACTGCACGTCCATCAGTACCTCTAGAGGGCATCACTGGTTTATAGTTCAATAGAGTGAATATATCAAAATAATGACCTTTAGTTTTGCTGAAAGATTAAATTATGCTTGCTAACTCGTTTAATGAGATAGTCAAACATATGATGTAATTTTAAAGGCTTTACATTTTTTTTAAATTTAATGGCTGCTACATAAAAAGGATATCGGTTAACTAATTTTACTTAGTTGGAACTTCTGTAAGCTTAGTAGGTATGCTTACATAAAGCCTGCTAATAAAATAGAGATTCAGACTCAATAGAATGGTTTTACATATGCAATATATGTTTTAAACAACATAAAATAGACTTTCCTGTCTTAACATGTCATTCTTAAAAAGAATAGCACATTCTCTTTAGAAAATTGGGAAAGATAAAAAGCAAAACCAAGAATGAAAAAAAAAAAAGCTGGGTGCAGGGGCTCACGCCTGTAATCCCAACACTTTGGGAGGCTGAGGTGGGCTTATCACCTGAGGTCGGTGTATCACCTGAGGTCGGGAGTTCGAGATCAACCTGACCAACATGGAGAAACCCCGTCTCTACTAAAAATACAAAATTAGCTGGGCATGGTGGCGCATGTGTGTAATCCCAGCTACTCGGGAGGCTGAGGCTGGAGAATCACTTGAACCAGGGAAGTGGAGGTTGCAATGAGCTGAGATAGTGTCATTGTACTGGGGAACAAGAGCAAAACTTCATCTCAAAAAAAAAAAATTGCTGCTTATAATTACCTAATATTTTGGTATATTTCCATATGAAAAATATTTTTTTCCTGTATTTTACAATTACTATGGGATCATGCCCCTCTTTACATTATAAGCATTTCTCCATATTTTTAAATAGACAAGAGTAACAAATTTGATTAATAGCATATTGTATAATTAGATGTCATTGCAATTTTTCAACCAATATTCAATTCGATATTTAAGTTTTTCCCAGTTTTTTACTTTTCTGTTCTTTTTTATTCTGCTTTTCTAGTTCTTAGAGAGTTGGTTTGCCTTAAATCTTTCTACTTAGAAGCTACTCTACTGTAAATTTCTTGACCCTGAACAAACCTAAGAATGAACAGTTTGGTCCTGCTTCTTTGGTTCACAGTCTCATTAGCATGTATTCCATGAATCCTAAAACACAAAGTAACAAGGACCTTTAAATTTTTACTAGGTTGTTTCACAGTGCAAAAGTCCTAAAGCTTTTACTTGAAAGGTTTCCAAATTTAAAAATAGTCTGTGTCCTCTGATTCCATAGAATTCAAAATTAATCTTAGATGTACAATAACAGACTGCAGAGACCACCACAGTTCTGCTTTCCATAATGAAATATCAAATTCAAAATATGTAACACTGATATAACAATAATATACTGTCTACATTGAAATTTCATCAATGTCCTAGTAATGACCTCTATTGCAATTTCACCTCCAGACCAGGATCCAATCCTGATTTATTTAGTTGTCCATTAATTATTATGTTTCTTGGTCTCATTTATTCTTCTGTATATTTCTTCAAGTAATTGATCTCATGTAAGTTATCAAATTCTTAGCATAAAATTGTTTGTAATATTCCCTAGCTAATGTCAATTGGATCTATAATAATAAGCCTACTTTCATTTTGAGTTATTTGTGTCCTATCTTGTTTTTATTTAATCAGTCTATGTTGTAGTTTATCAATTTTTTAGCTTTACCTTTATAATTTTAAAATTATTTATATTGTTCATCCTTTATCATTCAGTTTGAAATATTTCCTAATTTCCAGCATGATTTCTTTTTGACTCATGAGTTATTAGAAATGTTTAAAATACTTGAGAGTTTTCTAGATACCTTACTGTTTTTAATTACTAATTTCATTGAGAATATGTAATTTCAGTGCTTTTACATGTATTGTAATTTTATGGCCCAACTTAAGGCCTATCTTGTTGAACATGCCATGTACATTTGAAGTTATTGAGGTAATTAGGGTAAGGTCATTAAACTGTTCAAATCTATTGTTTAAAGGGGGATTTAAAAATCTCCATTCATGGTTATGGAATTGCCTATTTTTCCTATTTCTCCCTTTAATTCTGTCAATTTTTGCCCTATTGATATCTTAAAATCCATTATTTGGATTTATGATTTTTATGATCCTGTCATATAGATATATAATATTTATAATTATAGTCATTACTACTTTGGGTTTCTTATGCTTACTGTTGCATGGAATGTATTTTTTCCATTCACTTAGTTGCATTCTGTCAATGTAAACTACATTAATAATTTTTCACCACTATCCAGATTCTTAGTAATTCATTCCTTGGTTTGTTTAAAGATTTACTCCAAAAGTATGGCCTATAGTTTTAGTTCAGCAAATATAAGTTTGAGAGATTGATTTGTGTGTATTTATGACAATATTATAATATTCTAACAATATTATGTTTGTAAGATTTATCCAGGTAATTGCATGTAGTTGTAATTCATTTATTTTTGTTCTCTAGAAGAGGAATGGCTGGGTCAAAAGTTATTCATATTGTCACATTTATTAGACAATGTCAAATTGCTTTCTGAAGTGGTGGTACCAATTTATATTCCCTTAGTAGGGCTTGAGTCTGAGTGATTCACTTCATAACCAACTCTTATTTTTGGAATTTTTAATTTTTGCCAACCTTATAGGTATGAAATATGCCCCATGATTTTAATTTGCATTTCTTTGATAATAAATGAGATTAAGACTTTTTCCCATATGCTTATGCTTGTGTCTCATTAGTACCTGTTTAAGTCTTTTTCTCATATTTATCTGAGATTTTTAGACATTACTTTTTTCGGAAAAGTCCTACTAACACTTCATTCTATAGCTATTTCAAAAACCTGTGTGAATTAGTTGAGAGGGATTAGTAGGAGATTTGGTGCTCCCTACATTCTGAAAGTGGGGCTTGAGTATTTTATTACTGGTTACTGTGATCACATTTGTATTTTTCAGCTTATGTTGTCTCAGGAAAGAATGACTTGCAAATGCAGAGCCCTTCAGAAGTTACCTTGAGTATTTTATTGTAGAGGAAATATATGCCCTAATGGTGCCAATAGAGGTCAAACAACTTCTATAAATAAAATTATTAAAATATGTGAGTAAAATGTAGTGACAATCCCTAAGAGAGAGAGATTTCAAGAGAACAGAAAATGAACAGGGAAAATAGTGGTACATTTATTGAATTCAGTAACTGTTAAAAGTTAATAAGAAACTAAGGCAAATGGTATGTGGTAATCTGGCTCTGAAGTTAGCTCTGTTACTCTTCAAAAGGCATATTTGAGGTTTTGGCCTCCTGGGCAACTTGCGGTGGAGTTCTGTCATTTTCCCTTTACTGCTGGAAAAGAAGGCTCAAGAGGAAAAGTCCAGGTACTTTGTGTTTTAATCAGGACTACTTCTTTTGGACTGATTGGAAATAAGTTAAAATCTTTTAGCTCTTGGATTAACTAAATTAGTTTATTTACTTCAGTGTTTGGAATTTTAGCAGTTCATGAGGACAAAGAGTCTTTTTGCTCAGCTCATTTCGTAATCTCAGTTGTAGAGTTGCCAGGAGTGCTCAGATAAGTGTGTCTTTTCATTTCGATTTGCTTAGAAAAGATGACACCAGGGACTTGCTATTATGATAATATAGAGCTGGTTTTTATATTTCTGAGGAAAATGAAAGGCTATCAGAAGTCATTTGTTAAAATGTCTTTATTCTGTCTTCCCCATCCCCTTCAATATTTCTCCCTCTTTTAAAAGACTATTTCCTAGAATGTTATAGAATAAGCCCTCCTATTCTGGGAAACTGGATTGTGGTCCTATTTATATTTTGTTTGAAGGGTAATTTTCTTATAATATAAGACTAATGCCATGTTAGAATTACATTCTGTGAAAATATTTCTTGAAGCTTTGAATATATGTCCTACCTATTTATGCAATTCAGGAATGCTTTCTGGTAGTGAAATGTAATGTTAAAAAAATACCAAAAAAAGTAAGTATAAGTTGAGTTAATGACTTTCTAATTGACTTCTTTCTGTTTGAGCACACTGGTTGGTGCATGTAATATTTGAATAGAAATAAATTTAATGGATAATATTGTTAGGGGTGGCGAATATGAGTTACTGGTGGCAAATCTGTATGGGTCTGCAGCAGCTTCATTTCTTGCCTCCTCAGAAGAATTAATTCAACTGAGGGGCATAAAGGAGTAAAAGAGACTGAGGCAAGTTTCCGAGCAGGAGCAGAAGTTTATTAAAAAGCTTTAGATCAGGAAAGAAAGGAAAATACTTTTGGAAGAGACCCAAGCAGGCATCTTGGGGGTCAAGTGCCCCATTTAACCTGGAACCTAGGATTTTATATGCTGGCCTCCTTCTGGCATCTTGCACCCCTTTCCCTTCATCCTTCCCTTAAGGGGAGTCACCCACATGCTTGGTGCCCTGCTTGTGCTCGGGATGTTAGCATGCACAGTATGCTTACTGGAGTTTTGTGCATGCTTATCTGAGGCTTTGTTTTGAACTCTGGTGGAATGCCCCTGGAAGGTCATACTCTGTCATTTTGCCTCTTAATGCACATGCTTGAGCTCATTTGCCCAATTCCTGAAAGCTGCTGATTACCAATTTCAGGTGTTTTTGTCTATTGAGAAACTGCCTCTCCTTGGTGCTGGCTGTGACCGATAGTTATTTTAGAGAAACAGAGTGACAATCACTTGATAGTTACTTGACATTCTGGTGGGTGGGGGGAACTCTCTCCTGCCCCACTCATGTATAACTAGCTACCTACTATAACCATATATGAAAGGAATACTATACCTTAAGCTTCCTTAGAGTAGGAACTGCATCTTATCTCTCAGTAACTATGACATGTAAACCCTTGATAAATTCTTTTTGAAGTACTAATCAATTTGACTACGAGTTGGAGATGTGGATTCCATTTCTGACTCTGTCATGTATTTCTGTGTAATCTTAAGTACTCAATTTCTCAACTACAAGAAAGCAAGTGAAATATGGCACTTGGAAGCTATAGTATCACTTATTTTTAAGCTTCTCAGGAAACAGATGCAACATTTACACATCACTGAATTATTCTCAGCACTTCTCTCTTGGTAGGCTCATTCTCATCAGCGTGTATTTATGCCTGTGTCTGTCTCATCTCTCTCTCATATATATACATACACACACACATATATATACATACATATATGTTCAGTGTGCAAATATATGCAACACAAACATATATATATATGTATTTTACTTTCAATCTGCCTTTTTTTGACAATGTGTTTCCGAAAAAGAAACACTTGCTTTTTCAACTAGTTTGACAATCTGTCTCTTATTTATGTATTTATTTTAAGGATAGGATTTCAGATCTGTCACCCAATCTGGAGTCCAGTGGCATGATCACAAATCACTGCACCTCAACCTCTTGAGCTTAAGCAATTCTTCTGCTTCAGCCTCTCAAGCAGCTGGGAATACAAGTATGCCCCACCAAACCCTGCTAATTTTTACATTTTTTGTAGAGATGGAGTCTCCCTATGTTGTCCAGGCTGGTCTCAAACTCCTGGGATCAAGTGATCCTCAGACCTCAGCCTCCCAAAGTGCTAGGATTACAGGCATGAGTCACCACACCTGGCCTGTGTCTTCTAATTTGAGTGTTTGATCTGTTTATATTTTTTTTGTTTTTGTTTTTTTTTTGAGACGGAGCTTCGCTCTTGTTGCCCAGGCTGGAGTGCAATGGCGCGATCGCGGCTCACCGCAATCTCCGCCTCCTGGGTTCAGGCAATTCTCCTGCCTCAGCCTCCTGAGTAGCTGGGACTACAGGCATGCGCCACCATGCCCAGCTAATTTTTTGTATTTTTAGTAGAGACGGGGTTTCACCATGTTGACCAGGATAGTCTCGATCTCTTGACCTCGTGATCCACCCATCTCGGCCTCCCAAAGTGCTGGGATTACAGGCTTGAGCCACTGCGCCCGGCCCAGATCTGTTTATATTTAACATAATTATTGATATAGTTGGGCTTAAAACTCCCATCTTGGTATTGGTTTTCCATTTATCCCATTTATTATTTGCTCCTTTATTCCTCCTTTCCTGTTGTGGCTGATCGAATTTCCCAAAGATTGTATACACAAACACACATACAAATACACACAGCCAGGTGTGGTGGCTCATGCCGGTAATCCCAGCACTTTTGGAGGCCAAGACGGGTGGATCACCTGAGGTCGGGAGTTTGAGACCAGCTTGGCCAACATAGCGAAACCCCTTCTCTACTAAAAATACAAAAATTAGCTGGGTGTGGTGGTGGGCGCCTGTAATCCTAGCCACTCAGGAGGCTGAGGCAGGAGAATCGGTTGAACCCAGGAGGTGGAGGTTGCAGTGAGATGAGATTGTGCCATTTTACTTGAGACTGAGCAAGAGTGAAACTCCGTCTAGGAAAAAAAAAGTGACATTCATTACTGACCACAGATCAGGAACCTTGTAAAGGGTTATGTAGAGAAGGTACTTACTAGGCCAGTCTTTCTAAGGTGCTTTTTTTTTTTTTTT